TTTGAATTGGGGTTGTCTTTCAAAATTACCTTGAGAACATAGATCTGTATTCCACGGGTGCTGCCACTGCCCAAAACATCTTGGACACTGCTCTTGGAAATTTTTCTCATTACACTTTACAGTCCGGTTGTACAGTTGCCATCATTGTACAATGGTGACTATTATATTACTTTTACCACTTTGCTTGTTTGTAAATGGACAGAAGGAATATCGTTTTGTGGATCAATGTTCTCTGTTGCCAGATTTTTAAATACCTGTGGCATAGTCATGGGGTGGGGTTGGCAGAAGGACTACTGTGCGGTGGGAGGGGTCTGACCACAGCTCCATTATTTCAAGCGTTCGGCTCTAGCTCTCTACTTACAAGGAATAGGGCACACAATTAAGATCAAAGTCTTTTTTATAAAGTGACTCTGACAGGACAGTGAGCAGAGACAAAAAACAAAACAAAACAAAACAAAAAAAACCAAAAAAAAAACCAGGTACTAGGAAAGCCCCTAAGGTGGTTTCCTCATCACAAGAATAATAAATACTGTTTTGGTGCCTCTAATGGGACACAGGTGTTGCTTTGATATACAGAATACTCTGCAGTATAAATATAAAGTGATTTTATGTCTTTGGTTAGACACAGGTTAAACAGATGAAGAATGTTATATAGATTTCATCAAATGAAATTCTCATTTTACTCATTTGGAATTTAGAAGTATATGAGGTATGATCATAAAATATGATGAATGTTGAAAATAAAAAGTAATTACAGTAAAAGACACCTTGGCATTTATCCTCCTCAAAGTAACCCCTGTTGCTTTGAATTTATTGATACTTATTCCATTGTTCTTGTCATTTTTTGAAGCAGTTCTGGAAGCCCTCTGTCATAAGTATCTTCAGTTACTTTGTTTTGGTTGCCTTGATGCCCTGAATTGATTCAAAACATTTACTATCCATGGTCATTTTGACTTTGGGGAACAGCCAGTCATATGGGCCAGATCTGGTGGGTCAGGTGGATGAGGATGTACCGCAGTGTTTTTATGAGCTGGCCTTTCTGCTGGACAGCACTCAGCAGCAGCATTCATCGTATGTTTTTATCACACTTTGTGAAGACCTTCATGAAACAGCAGAACTGCTTCAGATCATGACAAGAATCATGGAATAAGTGTGTTTGAAGCGAGGGAGAGTATTCTGAGGGGGAGTAATGGCAATGTGTATTTTATTGTAATAATTAAAAAATTAAACACACACATCTTGGTCAGACTTTCTCTGAAGACACCATGCTACCAACACAGATGGATTTGGGTATATGATGTGTCAGGCATGGAAGAGGTTTAGAAGGCAGTGATATAAAACCTCAGAAATCTTGAGAAGATACTGTAAGTACATATGTAGTCTGGGGTCTGGGGAAGTTTTTTTTCAAAAAGTGAAGTAAGAGTGCTATTTAGAGATAAGGAAGGTAAAGACAAAGATGAAAGTGGAGAGAATTGCAGGTGCAAAAACCTGAAGGCAGGAATTTTTAGTATAGTACAGCAGAGTGGAAAGGAGCCCTGGGTGGAGGGGGAGAAGGAGAATGTTATAAGAAGGTTCTGGTGAAGTTAGGGTTGGGCAGATCACACATGGACTTAAGTAAAGGTCTTATTAAAGAGTTTATAAGGCACCCTAAACATACCAGAAATTCAGGAAAGTGATTACTATTTCAAAAACCTATTCATGTAGTGCCCATGGACTAAGACTCATGTCTCCAATCCAGGAGCTCTTAAGAATAACTTAAGGTCTGGCTAAAACTGCCTTTAAAAATGTTATCATGAAAGTTGGGGAATCTGGGAGTAGGGGTGATTTGGAAGAGCACAAGGATAAGTTTTCTGTTACTTTCAAAATATAGGGGTGGGGTGGGGGGAGGGAGCTGTCCACAAAGCAGGTTCTGAATAGAGGAAGCCAGGAGCTGCCTAGGGGAGCGTCACTGGTTGAGACAAGTGGTGCATAACGTTAATGCTTATATCGGGGAAGGGAGTAAGTGAGTGAGCTTTTGTTGTTCATCCACTGTATTTTTTCTTTCTCTTACTCGTATGCTTACTCTACTTTCTCCCACCTTCTTCTGAAGAAATCCAGGAAGCTATAGCTCACTCTTCCAGAAGGAAGAGAGAAGAATGTGCCTCTTGCTCCTCCTCCACTAGTGACTTCCTTTTGTGAGTTAACAACAAATTCCTGTGAACCCCATCTTTATCTTAGGGTTGAATAACTGGTTATTTTTACCAAGTTGGCCGCCCCAACCTTGCCTGAGGCATTGGATGGGGAGACATTCTCATAATTATACTACAGTTATTTAAGTAGTTATTACTGATTAAACATCAGTGTATGGAATGAAGTTCACCAAGGACTTTATTTCTCTAAACCTAAGAGGAAATTGCATTGTTTTTGTTTTATAGAACACGACTTGACTTGGAAGAGCAGCGGCTGTGATTTGTGTTATTTTTTCAATAAGTTAACAATGAGGCCACACACCAAAGGCATGAAAAAATGGAGGATAAAAGATGTGGGAAATAAAATTCATTGATAGCTATGATGCATAGAATCTTTTGATAATGATTTTATGTAGTCTCATAACAATCTTGTAAAATTGTGTGATTATTATTATCACCTTTGCTTCCAGGTTCCCCGATTTTCATTACAACATTTTAAGACACAGTTTTATCAGGGCTTAGAAGTTAGTACTAATGAGCTACTGGGCTGCAGACACTTGTCATAGCCCCCGAGAGTTACATGGATAATCTTTTGAAACATTACTCATTTTCCTGAAGGACAGTGGTACAAGCAGGGTCTGGTTGAACAGGACACACATGGACCTAAGTAAAGGTCTTATTAAAGAGTTTGGAGGGCACTCTGAAAACCACTGACTTCCTGAGGCTCAGAGAGGTTCATAATTGGATGAGCCAGTTTTTAAACTTGTGATGATCTGATTCTAAAGCCTATGCACTTTCAGCCATAGAGCTTCTTGATTTTAATGGGACAGTCACATCTACAGTTTAGTTTGATTTTAGCAAGTGAAAACTTCTGGCCTTATTTCTCCCATAGTTCTATTTGCCTCGGGTCTCACTGCCTCCCACACTACCTCCAGTTTTGGGAGGGCCACACACAGCCGCAGAGTAAGTCAGTGGCACGCAGGTTCCCTGTGGATAGAGGCACTCTTGTTTTCTACAGTCGCAGAGTTATTGGGTCATGAAGCATCCTCAGACCAAGCTGGCCTTTGTCTGAATCCCCACTGGACAGTTTGGTTTCAGTACCGATATTGAAAATGTCAATCTGGTAACAGCCTTTAACAGGCGGGAGGGAGGCTGAGAACAAAGTCTTCTTTACGTGAAATGGTAGCCAATGGGAGTGAACACAGGCAACCTCTTACTTGCTTTAAATCCCCTGGAGTGGCTATGAAAGAAAGAAGACTTGTGGGATGGAAAAGAAAAAACCCTTTGATTCATTTGAATTAATTTTGCATCTCCCAGGAGGGAGGCTCTGACATCATCTTCACTTTCTCCCTCCCCTGTGCACAGCCCTCCCGATCCCAAAGAGCAAAAGACTACTCTATGGTGGGTAGCGTCCACTCCCTCTTCTTCCACTTTAATTAAACCCATTTGTCCTGGGGTCACTCAGCCTCAGGATGCCCACGGGCTTTGATCTTTAACCCACACACGTCTGAAGGGGTGAGTAAGCTGACGTTCAGAGAGGACGGTGCCTGCTTCCTGCGACAGCAGAGCTTCCATTACAAGCTCTAGGGGATGGCAGACTCTGTGAAGTGTAGGAAAAGTCTGAAACTCAGATTCATATCTATGAAGCTGCATGCCAACTGGAACCTCCCTCCACTTCCCTCCAGCCCTTGGCCCTCACTTTTCAAAGGTAGATCCACCAGGATGGTAACTTGCTTGTTTTAAGAAACTAATGCAGAAGCTACTCTGATTATTGGGTTTCCTGTTTAGCCAATAAAAGTTGGATTTACTGATTGGTCCACTTATCTGTCTCCTTTATAGAAATGATTTCTCTTTGGTCTGGAACAGGTCAGCACCAACCTTCTCTATGACATAGCCGAGCATCCCGTGAGCGCTGCTGTGCCAGGCCATGCTTACTGCAGGCTGACTGCAGGTGGCAGAATAGTGCCATCCCGGGGAGACAAATAGCAGCTGAACTCTGCAGGTTACTGCTCCATTTCAGAGCCCGCAGAGTTAATGATTTTCTAGCCCAATCCTTTCTGTTTAAAGATGAGGAAACAGGTTCAAGGAAATAAAGGTCTTATGCAAGGTCACAGAGGTCGTGAGTGATATACTATAGGAACCAAGGTCTCTGCAGGAGTTCTCTTTATTGAAGCATTTGCCGCCTCCTTTCATCAGCCTGCCTCAGGACCTGACCCAGCAGAGCAATGGGCAGAGAGTCAGGCCTGGGTGTCAAGTCTGACCCTGGTGTTCATGTACAGGCAGTTGACCTCTTCAATTTTCCCCTGTAAGAGGACGGGAATGGACACCAGCTGGTAACACCTGTTGTATTTCTTGCAGAGGAAACTAGTGCACAGGTAAAAACAGAATGCAAGGTAAAAAAATGTCAAATTGGGAAAGGAAGGCAAAAATCCATCAAATGAGAGAAAATGCTACGTACTTATAAGGCTGGATTACTATTGGGGAGTAATGTGAGTTACCCAGTTTTAGTTCTTCCTATAGATACTGTAGGGAGAAGATGAGTGCTCATTACCACCAAGATGCCTTGGAGAATGTGCCCTCAGTGACTTGCAGAAAGTGTGCATGTCCGTGCGTGCGTGCGTGCGTGCGTGCGTGTGTGTGTGTGTGTCTGTCTAGCACAGTGGTGGAGAACCTTTGGCATGTGTGCCACAGCAGGTTGTTTGTATCACTGCAAGCTCTAAAACCCTTGCCATCACTGGTCTAGAGTCAAGGGCACCAGAGGAGGGAAGACGCGGCCTGCTTTAGCATGTGGCTGGTAGAGAAAGGGAGTAGAGGGAACGGGTAGAGGCTCACCTGTCGGACACATTGAGGAGAGGAAGCACTGCCCACTGCCACAAGCTCAAGCCTTCATTGGTGGCCACATGCCAGATCATTCTGCTTTGCTCCTTCCCGGTTTTGTTTTCCACCAGCACCAAGGACACATTTCCTCTTAAGACTCCACGGATGAGCCAGGACATTCTGAGCTGAAAAGGAGAGGACAGCCAGAGGAAGCGGTGTTAAAGTTGAAAAGAAGCCTTAGATCTCCTTCTTGGAATTCTCAGTTGATGCCTGAAGGATTTTGTTCAAGACTTAGCTGAGGTTGGTCCAGTGGTGGCAGGGCACCACCTGATCTCATTCACTGTCTCCCAAAGTGGCTTTTATTAAAGTTCAAGAATCTAGGCAGGGATAACCAGGGGGCAACTGTGAAGCTTTGTTCAGGTTGATAATATCCTATATTTCTCAAGAGTCTACTTCTGAGTCAGATGAGTGGGGTATTCAATGAACTTCCTAAAGAGTAGACGGAGATTTTTGTCCATAGCCCCACTTCACATTTCGACCTTATTAAAGTGATTATTTTACTCCATTTTCTCTTAGAGGTTTAGGTGTAATAGATTTTTATTCCTTCCCCAAAGACTCCAATAATCTTACTTCTACAGTGCCATGTGTTTGGTAGCTGGAGACTCTATGACGTGGTAGGCAAAGACCCAACAAAAACCTGCTTATCAAGATCTTTTACTATGATTGTCTTACAGAGTGAGGAGGCCAAAAGGAAGCTACTATCATGGTTTCATTGTGTTTTTATTAATAGTTTCTATGGCATTGTTCCCCTGAGATTTGACAGGGAATTGTCACTACTAATCTTTCAAACAAAGTTTAAATACAGTCATGTTCAGAAGCAGTACAATTATCAAGGTCTCTGATCATTTTGTTTCAAATAAGAGGTTGTGTGTTTGATAGGAACAATCTAGAAACAATATTGAAAACTTAAGGCAACTACATTATATCACTGCTTAAAATATTCCTGTTTTTGTCTTTAAGTAAAAATGGGCATTATAGAAAGGACAAAGCTGGGGTTCTGATCAGCTACAGTACCCACGTTTGGTTCTCATAATTTGAAGACCTGCTTCTTGTACATCACCATTCTTTTGTCTCCTAGTTCCTGGCTGATGGTTGCCTTACAATTTTATTGAAAAGGTTAAGCGCCACAAGGCAGAAGACTACACCTATGCATTAGAGTCCCTGATCTCCTTAGGAAGCCTGACTTCTAACTGCAGTGTCTTCACTTGTACTTTTTCCCTTATCCACCTTTGAAACCTCCAGGGATAATTGGAAGAGGAGCACTTGGCTTTCTTTTGGTCTGGATGCCATGATGAGAAATTTGAATTCTCTCTTTGCTAACTTTAATCTCTCTCACCATCAGCCCATGCCATGTGATGTGCCTTGCTGGCGCTCATACCTGACATGTGCCTTCTCTCTTCTTGCATTTGGCCAAAGAACACTGTAGATTTGGGCTTCTGTAAATGCAGTCCGTTGAACCTCTATGGACAGGATGATTGGTTATGTAGTCATTCTCTGTGGATTTCCACATTTGCTTTCTGGATACACATACTCCAGCAGATGTTTCAAACACTCCCTCCAACACTGCTGCTTACAACTGTTTGTCCCCAAGTCCTGATCTATTATTTCTTTTTTTTTTTTTTTTTTTTGGTTTTTTTGGTTTTTCTCCGGTACCAGGAACTGAACTCACGACCTTGCACTTGCCAGGCAGGCGCTTTTGCCGCTGAGCTAAATTCCCAGCCCCTGATCTATTATTTCGATTTCCACTTTGCTGAGAGAAAGATCTACTACAACAGTCCAGATCTCTGTGAGACAGCTCTCTCCCACTTTCTCTCTCCTTAGGGTAGCACAAGAGGTGTCTATTTCTCCTCCCTTCCTCTTTCTTCTGTCTTAGAGGAAGCTGCATCCTTCATTTTCTTTTCTGTTAGCCCAGAGCCTTCTCACCTCCCCTGCTCCTTGCTCTCCCAGTCACAGCCCTCTTTCCTTCAGCTGCTTCAGCCTCTCTATCTTCTGGCTCCTCATCTATAAAGAAGGTCAGATTCCACCCATCCTGGAAAAATGGGTAGAATTTATTTAATCCTGTTAACCCCTCTGGCTTGCACTCATTTCTGTATCTCCATTCCAAAGGTGAGATCTTGGACTGCTGGGATGTATGTAACTGCTGCTTCCATTTCCTTGCTGCTGCTTCTCTCTTCAAATTCGTTCAACCTGGATTCTACCTTTATTTCCTCATTACTTTGACAAAGTAAGTCTCACTTGCTCCTTTACAATTTATCTCCAAATTCTCCCATGGTCTCCTAAAGTGCCTCTCCTCATTCTTTGTTCCTTATGAATTCTTTTGTACATCTTGATCACATTTTCCTGTTTATCACCGTCATCTGTGACTCAGAGCTCAGCAACTCCTAAGTTTTTCATTCCTTATTGAAACATCAAGACAATAATATTCTGTATAATTTAAGGAAATGAAATTTTAGTCATTCAACCAATACTTGTTGGGCAACTATGCTAAGTCACATGCATCTTCCATTCCAGCATGGTGGAAGAGCTGTAGAATTAGAGAGCTCTGGATTCAAAACCTATTTTTTTTTTGCCATTTTGTCCAAGGAATCATTTTAAAGCTCAGTTCCTGTTGTCTAGGATAGAAATAGTGCAATTATTTCGTAGGGGTATAGTGACTATTAAGTGAGGCAATAAATAATGTAACAAAAAGTTAAAAAGGAGTTTTGGCTGGAGCACTGAGATGGTACATAGCACACTTCCGAGGGAAGGAGAACGCAAAGATGCAGGACCCCTGAGAAAAGTGGGTGAGAAGAGGTTACACAGTTCATAACCTCTTTTCCATAGTTTGGCTATAAAAAATCTGGTTGCTGGACAAGAGCAGTTTGGGCACATGCTTTTGGCAAATTATGACTTTGGTCTCACTCTCCTGCTAAGAAGCCAGGTGCAGAGAGGTCCTCTCTCCATCCCAAGTCAAGAGAGAATGGTTTTACAATACCTCGCGGAGCACTGCACACTTACCCCTTGTAGTTTGGGCAGCATAGTGAGTGTGTGTCTCTCTCCTACATTGGAAATCTGAGGTTTGAGCTAGGGGTTGGTTAGCTGCGGGACAGCAAAAACATGCGAGGTGGCAGCATTGGGTCCTGGGGCAAAGAATTGCATGAAGATGGCACATGCTTTAGAGGGGGGGCGCATGTGGCTCATTTTAGATCTTGTCCAAGAAGGCTGCATGGAGAGTAAACAGACCACAGCAGAAAGGAGCTGCTGATAGCGTGAGAAGCCCACAGGTGGAAGGAGAAGGAAGTGATTCCCTGCAATGCACATGTAGAGGCTCCAGTCAAGAGGAAAGACTCCCAGCCACAGTGGAGGTGGCGGGGAGAAGGCAGATCTCCAAAGGAACCATAGAAGTGCCCTGTGCAAGGCAGTGAGCCGCAAACACTTGTCATAGCAGGAAGATACTAATGCTGCATCACAGCAGCCCCAGTCAAGTGTGACTGCTCTCGCCCCCCTTACTTCTCATTTCCTGTACCTGCCGCAGTGCGGAAGGGTCAGAGGTCAGCAAGATGACAGAGAAGAGGAGAAGTTGGTGGAGAACTAGACAAGCCACTCACCTGATTTCAGGCTGCCCATCTGCAATTGGCTCACTGTGGTGGGGACAGGAAGGAAGAGAAGCTTCGACTTTAAAGACTGAAGTTGGGACTGGTTGGACATTTGATGACTAAATAAGCCAGTGTCTTATGTTTCAACGTGACTGGAGAACTGCCTGCAGTACTGGAGAGTGGCCGGATAAGCAGCAGTACCTGCAGAGCTTTCATCCAGTAGCCCACTCCAGGGAGCTCCTTATAGAGGGGATTCTCATACTCCCCCTCTCCAACATTTATACCTGCCTTGCATTTTTCTGCTTCTGTGACTGTGCTTCTTCTGTTTTCTCTACTCACTCTTTCCTTCTCTCCACTTAAAAAAGAGGAAATCTATTTCCTTTCCGGGAATCCTTCTCTTGTCATTCCTCCCAGAAATGACTTTCTCTTCCTCTGAAGTCCTGTGATTGAAGTTACCATCCTACCTCCTGGGATGTCTTCTCTTCCCTCCCGCCCTCATTGCCCTTGGGCCACAAGGTCCTTCAAGGAAGGGACTGTCTTATTTATTTTGTATTCAGAAGCTGTCAAGTGAAGGCACATGGTATGGCTGATCAATGTCAGAAAGAATAAAAAGCTACACATGCATAGGCAGCCCCTCCTGTCTTTACTGGGTTTCCCTCTCAAGGACAGTAAATCAACTTTCTATCCTGTGAGGCTCATTTGTACTTCCCTGCATTCCGGGGGCCAGGTTTTACAAAAGGGGAGAGGATCCCTCACTTTCCAGTCACCTGGCTATATTCTAATCTGTCCAATTCTCAGCTGCACTGAGGAAATTTTCAGTGTGAAATAGAATTTGCTGATTGCATGAGCCTGGCAGTGGGACGTGGCTGTGACGTCTGTGTTGGGGCCTTGAGCCAGCAGATTGCCAAACCTTCTTCCTGCACATTCTTTAGGCCAGTCAGGGAGAGGGAGGGAGGGAAAGTGGGGCTGGTGGAAAGGGGGAGAGGGAGAGAGGAAGAAGGAGAAAGAAAGGAACGAATGCTGGGTCGGCCACCAAGAAACGGTGCTAAGGCTGTGGCACCCTTGGCTCCCTGAGGAGGTCCACTGAGACACTTTTACCACATGCTTACTCTATGGTGCATACTCTATGGATCTTCCTTGCCCTCATGGAGCTTATTGTCTAGCCAGGAAGTCAGATTTTATATGAATAACTAACTACAAGTGTGCTGGGTGCAGCAAAGGGTGAAATAATTAGAGCCACTTGACAGTCAAGACAAAAGGAACAAGACAAAGCACTTGACATCAGACAGCCAAAGCATTAGGTAAAGACAGTCACCTGTGTAACTGTTGAGAGTGACGAGTAAGTAAAAAAAGTTAAAAATTAATTTTCCTTTCGCCTTGTAATGTCACCATTTATAGTTATAGTAGAACACATATATGATACAGACACAACTCAAGCCAAAGTGTGTACTGAGTTTCCATAATACCTACTTCTGGAAATAGACACAAAAGGCTTGGGGTAAGACTGACAACTGCCAGCGAGTAAATGGCTAGTAAGTGTGTGTTGAGGC